CGTAATAGTCCCTCTCTGAACTTCATTAAAATATTTCGAAGCTTTTATTCGCTAATTGCATAAAGATACTTTTCCGATTCTAACAAACTGTATATCTTGAACTGGTGAACTGTTATATATAGCAGATATCAATTTTGAGTAAATACATCAATAGCACAATCCTTCAACATACTTATAAAACATTTTTTTTAAATCATCCAAATAAAGTAAATTGTACGCTTTTTTTTTTGGGGGGGGGGGGGGGGTTAGGGGGGGCGGTCTTCATGCATTCATAATATTTTACACCAGTAACCATCACTACGTCCAAGTGAGTTGAGATCGGACATCGGCCATATTCACCATAAACTATAGCATTAGGTGTTTTTGGTCCCATTGTAAAGAAGTTGTTGCAAGGCAGTAAGTGGATTTTAACTATGCTCTCAAATCTATTGATCCCACAAATTTCAGATGCGTACGAAAGAATCGGACTTGTCTGACAATGAAATAACTTAAAGAACACGTCGGGGACAGTAATAGATATGTTTCTAGTTGCAATAAGTAACTCAAATAAAGCCCTTTTGGCACGAAGAGCAAGATCAGCAACATATTTACTTAGACTAAACTTACAAGTGAAGACAAATCCCAAATATTTATAGTGAGTGAGTGAGTTGGGTTTAACGCCGCTTTTAACAGTATTCCAGTTACATGTATATCGCGGAATGTCAGCTTGATGTGGGAGGAAAGCCCGAGGTGATGCAGGTCTCTGACGTTTACCACTTCGGTGAAACCCACGAGCACGGGTATGGTGCTGACAAATCTAGAAACATAATCGGTGCGAACCGGGATTCGAACCCACAATCATAGGTTTCTGGCGTGCCCATGGGAAGCAACTCTGCACAGTGAATCGCGACGCTTTAGACGACTGGGCCACCCGTGCCCCCCGGATATCTTTAAGTATTAACCACCTCTACAACTTGTACTCCATAGTACCTTACTTCTTATGTTGATACGTTTCCTCTTCTGCTAAAAACAACATGAGATTTGTGCAAGTTAACAGTCATTACCCACTTATCTGCATTTGAAATCTAGAATATTTATCTGATGCTGAGAACCACATATAGAATCAGAAACCATAATAACATCAGCAGCAAATAACAACATTAATACTTTCACTGTAATACTATAATTCTACTATAATGAATAAAAACGTTAGTGAATATCATTAACTAGCTGATATAATATATAGTATACATCTATTTTTGACAAGTGTTTGCAAAATTTGACTTTCAATGTGACCCGTGAAGATTCGGGGTAGAACAGATCTTCAGCAACCCATGCTTGTCCTAAAATGCAACTATGCTTGTCGTAAGAGGCGACTAACGGGATCGGCTGGGCCGGATCGCTGACTTGGTTGATACATGTCATCGTATTCTGTCTGTATTAGGTATGACCTTTACGCGTGGTTAACAAAGACTCGACGACATGAAAGATCGACCGGTGAAGATCCTGAATAGAATAGATCTTCAGCAACCCATGCTTGCCGTAAAAGGCGACTATGTTTGTCGTAAGAGGTGACTAACGGGATCGGGTGGTCAGGCTCACTGACTTTGTTGATGCATGTCATCGTATCCCAATTGCGTGGATTGGTTCTTATGATGTCAATCACTGGATTGTCTGGTCCAGACTCGATTATTTACAGACCACGTTAAAAAAGAACAAAAACAACAATGTTTCAACTTTAACGATGACTGCTTTACTTACTTGTCGTTTTACATGCTAAAAAGTTCCATGACCGCTTTGTCTAACAATAAAACACTTGTCACTCTCTCATAGTTATAGAATACACGTGGCTGTTGTGTTTCTCCTTCTTCTGGCAGACATGTTTTGATATACAAATGTATCTAAGGTTGCATTTCACGCTGAAGACCCGGGTTCGATTCCCGACATGGGTACAATGTGTGAAGCCCATTTTCTGTGTCCCCCGCCGTGATATTGCTGGAATATTGCTAAAAGCGGCGTAAAATCATACTCACTCACTCACTCTTTAAAAAAGCGAGACAAAAAGGCGTAAAACAATACTCACTTGCTAGGGTTGAATTTGTTGCAGCATTTCGTGTGGGGTGTTGCCCCAAGTCATTGTGTATTAACACTAGTGAACTCAGGTTGAATCTAGTCAACCCGGTTGCTAGAAATGCGGTAACCATGGTTGACTCAGGTCACTCATTATAATCGAACACAAGTAGTTCAGCATAAAACATCCACAAACTAATATCTTGAGACGTCAGCCTTGTGGATGTCATCAAAAACTCGCTTGAAACGAAAACGCGAAAGTGTTTGAAACACACGTAAAATATAAATCTTCATCTTGAGGCTAGTTGATTGTTTTCGAAATAAATAAATGTACTTCTGTGTTCTCTTTGTTCTTTGGGGGACACGGGTTACCCAGTCGTCTAAGGCGATTCGCTGTGCAGAGTTGCGTTCCTTGGGCACGCCAGAAACCTATGATTGTGGGTTCGAATCCCGGTTCGCCCCGATTATGTTTCTAGGTTTGTCAGCACCATGCCCGTGCTCGTTGGTTTCACCAAAGTGGTAAACGTCTTAGACCTGCATCACTTCGGGCTTTCCTCCCACATTAAGCTGACACGTCGTGATATGACTGGAATACTGTTAAAAGCGGCGTTAATCCCAACTCACTCACTCACTCTTTGTTCTTTGATGCACAGTGAGTATGAAGGTAAGATCAAACGGGACGATTGCTGCCTTCAGCGTCAAACAACAATAACTCCCTTACACACTCCTTCATCCTTGGTTATTTAGCAACGTGCCTATGCCTTTGGTTTTTACGATAACGTGTTCGACCCAGGCCTGCGTCACAGTGCGTTCGCCTCCTGCATTTAGCTGTACCCGTTGTGTTATAACTGGATCTGTTTTTAAACTTACAAAATTCAAATATGGCGAAAGATGGACCCCATACGCTGTCTCTGTTCTTTGGGGGACACGGGTGGCCCAGTCGTCTGAGGCGATTCGCTGTGCAGAGTTGCCTCCCTTGGACACGCCAGAAACCTATGATTGTGGGTTCGAATCCCTTTTCGCCCCGATTATGTTTCTAGGTTTGTCAGCACCGTACCCGTGCTCGTCTTAATATATTTTTATGTAAAACATAAATAATAATTCAAATTCACAAATTCATTCCAGTATGTTTTAATAGCTGGTCATGTCCACCCCACCTTAGATAGTACAGCAAGGGCGGTCGGGTAGCCTAGTGGTTAAAGCGTTCGCTCGTCACGCCGAAGACCTGGGTTCGATTCCCGACATGGGTACAAAGTGTGAAGCCCATTTCTGGTGTCCCCCGCCGTGATATTGCTGGAATATTGATTAAAGCGGCGTAAAACCATACTCACTCACTCACTAGTACAGCAGTCTGAAAGGGAAGTAACTCTTTTCTCAAACCGCCTCCGTAGCCGAGTTGATAGAGCATCTGCCCGCAGAACTTAAGGTCGGGGGTTCGATCCCCTGTCCCCGCCATGCCAAAATACGTTAAAAGATGGACGTTGTTATTCTGACTTGAGCTCGACATAAAGGAGAGTAAACAAGGGGTTTTGCCGGTTCGGACTGAGTGGTATATTCATGTTAAACTGTGTTTGGTATCTCAGTCGGCTAGCATCATAAAACCGGCATTCGTGCGGGCAAGTACAATCAGCCGTCATCCTACAAGTCACCTTCCGATGCGGAGCAACAGCCTCCGTGGTCTAGTGGTAGAGCGTCCCCTCGGAGAGCGGAAGGTCCGGGGTTCGAGTCCCGGCCGCGTCATACTAAAGTCCAATTCTACCCCTGTTCTTCGCGGGTCAGCTTGATTGCGGCTAACTCTACCTCGACGGCGTGAAAAGTTTCTCAAAAAGTTTACTTGATTAGTTACAGGCCGCATCCTATAGCTGGAGTATTGCTGAGGACGGCATGAAACAAGAATTTAAAGAGCCTGTAAAATCAGAACATAACATTACAATATGTCAACCGACATGTTCCTAATGATAACTAGAATTATATTTTCTACTAAAACACAGTGTTAGTTTGGGTCTGTATTAGGTATGACCTTTACACGTGGTTAACAAAGACTCGACTACATGAAAGATCGACCCGTGAAGATCCGGGGTAGAATAGGTCTTCAGAAACCCATGCTTGCCGTAAAAGGCGACTATGCTTGTCGTAAGAGGCGACTAACGGGATCGGATGGTCAGGCTTGCTGACTTGGTTGATGCATGTCATCGATCCCAATTGCGTGGATCGATGCTCATGATGTCAATCACTGGACTGTCTGGTCCAGACTCGATTATTTACTAACCGCGGTCATATAGCTGGAATATTGCTGAGTGTGGCGTTAAACAACAAACAAACAAACAAACAAACAAACAAACAAAACATGAAAGATCAATCCCGGCAGTATGGCGTTGTGTCTTATGATTAGCGACGTGTGTGTAGGTCAGCACTTGGTCCGGGTCACAGACAATTCGCCACACGATGTCTACAGATCCTTACCACATACTTAAAACAAACGTATTAATAAAAGATACAATCTCGCATTTTGTCGAAACACTTACCTAAATGCGGATTTCGTTTATCCCGTGTAATTACTGGTCATTGTAATATCGCGGGGCTTTGTTCAACAGCTTCCATTCATTAACAACCCCAGTCAACCCCAGTAGGTGTCACGGCAATCTGTATTTGTAGTTATATATAAACTATTGGCACATAGCCAGATTAATATGGCATTAAGGTATACGCTCTGACAACCTCTCTCCCCTCTAACCCCCCGTCTCATTGTACACAACCCGCTATTCACGTCACAGGTTCTGAGAGGCTTTGTCTACCGCTTACAGTATTCAGTTTACCTGTGTGGCACTGTATGGAGCTCAGCGGTGAGGAGATAATGTATGAGAGAATTCAAGCAGTGTCTGGAGCTTAGGAGATCCGTTCACTGTTGGGAGCGTCTTGGTTGTTAATCCAGCATTGAGCGAGTCCTATTGGCCAGGCAGTGCGGAGCGAGATCACCTTGCTCAGATTATGTCGGTTAAGTGACGGACGGCCGTCGCGATATGGAAGGGCTGCGATAACTTGACTGACTCGCATTGATAGACGACGCCATTTTATTTCATATGGATTTAAAAGTATACACGCTAATGTTGTGAAGTTTGGATTGGAGAGGTTCACCTGTGTGACAGTCTGTGACAGGAGTAAGTGACCGTTATTGAAAGTGTGACACACTTAAAACGTCGGAATGTAGATGGTGACAGTGATTTTGTTCTGGTGATCTCAACATAGACTTGTTAACGCACTAACAACCCCTCGGATATTCTGTCGTACCCGTGAAGTCGTGAGTCAAGCATGGAGACGTACCTGCAACGAACGTACGGACACAAGAAACAGGCAACGGACCAACGGAACTTTCCTTTCTGGGACTACAGGTACTGTGTTTGCTTCATTGTCTCACTCGCGACGCTTGGTAGAAAGTTTGCATATTTTACGAAATCTACACTGGATAGGTACTTGAATTCAGTGGAACTAATAGAAATATATCACTTCCAGAAACTTGTAACGCACTTGTATTGATTTTAAGGATATTGCACGTATTGCTATTTATTTAGTCTACTAAAATACTGTCATTTCAATAATGAATCAGAGAGAGAGAGAGAGGGGGGGGGGGGGGAGAGATTGAGAGAGACATATACAATTAGAGAGAAAAACTGATCAATGTGTATGAAATAAGAGAGATGCAGATATGATTAGAGAGACAGGGAAAGACAGGCCGAAACCTAATTAGAGAGAGAGAGAGAGAGACAGAGAGGCAGGCAGACAAACAGACAGACAAAAACATATATTAATAAGTTAGAGAGAGAGACATATATACTAGTATTATTAGAGAGAGAGAGAGAGACAGAGAGAGAGAGAGAGATAGGTTGGTTTGATCCCTTTAGTCGCCTCTTACAACAAGCATAGTCGCCTTCTACGGCTGGCATGGGTATCTGAAGACCTATTCTACCCCGAATCTTCATGGGTAGCAGATATGTAATTAGAGAGATAGGGGAAATGAGAAATGCAATATGATATAACATGCCATCAAAACTCATCATAACTCATGTAATTTATAATATTGCCCTGTCATACACGAAACTTCCCCTCAAATATGATTTGCGGGGGCTACCATGTGAAGTTCAATATTGGCACGTTCAATAACTCGTCGTGCATACGTCGTACGCGAAATATTAATTTCAGCTGTCCCTAACAACAGAAATATACAAAGGTACAAAAACCATGATACCCATACGATGACACCGTTCACTATGTTTGTCGTTTCAGGACATGTATATATGAACTGGTATCTATCAACACCTGAAACAGACCGTGATGATCCGGGGTAGAATAGGTCTTCAGCAACCCATGCTTGCCGTAAAAGGCGACTATGCTTGTCGTAAAACACGACTCGGATGGTAGCGGGTTTTCAGGCTCGCTGACATTGTTGATGCATGTCATCGATCCCAATTGCGTGGATCAATGCTCATGATGTCAATCACTGGATTGTCTGGTCCAGACTCGATTATTTACAGACCGTCGTCATATAGCTGGAATATTGCTGAGTACGGCGTTACACAACAAACAACAAACAACAACAACTTTAACATGTTAATGTAATTGCATTTATACTAGTCAGGTCTTGAAAGAGATATCCTTTCTCCCACATGATAAACCAAGCGTGTTACGAGTAAAACTGAACTTCTCTACATATCCCTATCACAATTTGACCAGTATACGTAGCCAATATCAAAATCTAATATACATGCCCACGAGCAAACATAAAACGTGTTTATTACCTGGCTCTGATTACCTAGTTACGTAAGTGTTATTAATCTACAGTCCAACCCCGTTATCTCGGACCTAGCATGGCCATGTATACATGTGTTACAAGCTATACGTGATCGCGTAATAAGTTACATTACTTCTTCCTGGTTTTATGATCAAAATACTAAATCGGTACGATTTTTTAAAAATATAAAATAAATCGCTTGATGCACAACTGTTGATGGGTATCTTAGACACCTATTTTTTAAAAAGGTGCATTTGGGGTTTTTTCGTCACAAATTTACAACATTTCAAAAACGCTAGAGGTCATGTGGTTGCAAATTCATTTCTGACCTTATTCTTCACGGAATCAATATATTTGTACAAAACATGACCCAGTCTCAGATTATTTTTTACAAACTGTTGCAGGAATGAGTGATGCTTAAATAGACATAATCAAATTTTGTTTTCAAGTACAGTTACATCAAAAATAAACTCGGTATGCTTTCTTTTGTAATACATGTTATATTTGGGATAACACTTTCTCAGTAAAGTTGAGTCCCATCCAGGATTTGAACCCACATGGCAGAGTGAGCACCTAATCGCCAGCGCAAAAAAGGCATTGATCTAGCCCATACTTTCTTTTGACCTCAGTTCACAGGACCAACTACACAAGACGCGGATACGGAATATATAATTAATTGCCCAGCATATAGTACCTTTAAGTGGCATTTTAGTGGTTGTAGTATAACTGTAGACAGGGTGGATATGGGTGTCAACTATATATTCCCTAAAGGCGACGTTTGTTTGTAGTTTAACGCCGTACTCAGCAATATTCAAGCTGTATGACGGCGGTCTGTAAATAATCAAGTCTGGACCAGACAATCCAGTGATTGACATCATGAGCATCGATCCACGCAATTGGGATACGATGACATGCATCAACCAAGTCAGCGAGCCTGACCACCCGATCCCGTTAGTCGCCTCTTACGACAAGCATAGTCGCCTTTTACGGCAAGCATGGGTTGCTGAAGACCTATTCTACCCTTCACATGTCTCAATTCGACGTTTCGGTACAGTGGTAAGAAACTATTTCAAACAAGTGTCCATCAGATATATACTCTGCATATGTAATTAATCATACTAATTCGTATGTGTATTTAATTACACCAGAGGGTGCATGTAATCAGTCTCTTGTCTGACTGATGGACAGGTCGAATGTTGCGCTCGATGTACCTGTCACTCATGATTAAGAGCACGACGTGTAATGAACGGGAATCAAGGTCACAGATATACCAACGAAAATAACTAAAATATGTGCAAAGGGATGGAAATGGGTATGATGTCATTTGTCGAAAATGAACCAAAAACGTTAGGGATCATGAATATTTTTTGGGGATGCTGCTTGGAACATTATGATCCATAATATTATTGTTCAGTGGACATCGGGTTCGCACACAAAGCTACCCTCCCATTTTGAGGCCATCAAACGGTAAAAACGACGCATATTGTCGTGTCCGATTGCTTGGTTCGAACGTTTTGTGCGAACATTTTTGCGGTATTTGGTCTTTTGTGTGCAGCAAGTCAGTCACTGGATTGTCTGGTCCAAACTCGATTATTTACAGACCGCCGTCATATAGCTTGAATATTGCTGAGTGCGGCGTTAAACAAGAAACACGCATTGGACGCATCTTAGTTGGGGGTTTTTATTGGGCGTGTGCATATATATCATGTACATACATATGTATCGTGTCTATATCATACACATCAGTCATGTATGTTTGTTGTCCATCTGTGATGATTCTGAGACAAACACGTGTTTGGTACACCACGTGTTCCCGGGTCGATGTACATGTACTCTCGGATGTGTTAATTACCGTTGATGAGCATCTCGCCCCTCGGTAGATGTGGGTTTGTAAACAAAGTTTGTTTATCTGAACTCTCTCGGGACGCGGTACGTATCTGTAGACGTACTCGCTATACTGTGCCAAGTTTAGGTTCAATGCAGCATACAGGGACACTCTATGGTGTCTCTGTAATCGGGACACTCTAAATACAGGACAGTTATTGCTGCGATTGTTTGTATGCATGTCTGCTTCTTTGATGCTGTTTAAAGCCGCACTCCTTATATCCTGTTTCGTCTGGGGTTATATAGGGTGTAAAAAGTGCTGTCTGTTTGTTGTTTAACGTTGCACTCAGCAATATTCAAGTTATATGACGGCGGTCTGTAAATAATCGGGACCAGGCAATCCAGTGATTGATAGCAGGAGCATCGATCAACGCAATTGGGATCGATGACATGCATCAACCAAGTCAGCGAGCCTGACCACCCGATCCCGTAAGTCGCCTCTTTCGACGGGCACAGGTGAAGACCAATACCCAATAATAGTTCATAGATAATGGGAACGTCTAATGTAGAATGTACAAACAGTGAACTAAATGTTTATCTTAGTATCTGATGAAGCTGATGTATTCCGTTATCATCTTATAGTATTTTTTTGTTTAACGCCGCTCTGAGCAATATTCCATGTTCAATTTAAATGGAGTTGTTTGTTTCTATCAAAATTATAAGTTTTCAGAGATTTAGCGTTAGTCTATTGCAAAGATGTCACTACAGTGCACTAGAATTAAAGGCGTATTCGTGCACAGCGATAATCATTGAAAGTGGGGAGTTTCGGTTCGTAAATTGGCATATCATATAACTGGAATATTGCTGAGTGCGGCTTTAAATAACAAACAAACAAACCACAGCCGTGATAATATAATGTGTTATGTTATTGTGTTATTGTGTCGTGGTAATTTGACTTTTGATGTAAAACTTTGAGGAGATTTCCACATTTTAGATGCCATTCAACCTCTAGAGTCAAAATGACCTTTGACCACATCATATAAACAATTTAAAGGAATACGGAATTATGATATTTCTGTTTTCACATTTGACTGTATCCTTACAAATTTAACCTGAGACATTAAAAAATGAAAAAAAAATATGTCTGTGTGTCATCGTGTAACCAAAAGTATCCTGGTAAGAATTTGAAGGTCAGGTGGAAATTTAAAATTTTAGCATGGATATTTCGCGTCAAGCATCTAATATTCTCAGATTCCCTTATGTAAAGAGCTGTACTTCAACGCAGGATGTCGGCACTTCCCCGTCTCGCGACCCCCCCAACATTGCGTATTCGTCAACCGACCCCGGAATACCGATCGCTCGGCCAGGATGCATGTCGACAATTTGTTTACTTTCCCTGAAATACCTGTGATTTTATCCGTCAAGGCGAACTCGGTTTATTGAAGATTGAGCTCTATTCCTGGGTCAGGCCAATCGCTTAAATAATTGGGCAATACTCGACAACTGCCAATCGACCGTCAGATGTCGAGCCAAACAACGGCCCGATACCAATTTTATAGCGAGGATAAGCCTCCCGGGCAGTTGATTTTGAAGCCAAGCCACGACTGACGTAAATGTAACCAAGGCAAAAAGTTTGCCATGACCATGCGTTTAGGGAACACCAGCGTCTCAAGGTTATCGAGGATTATGACAAGTCTGTAGTTGGCAAACACACTGGTCAATAATGATTAACGACTAAACATAAATCGACTATCAAACCCCAACCCCCCAACCCCCTCC